TTCTCCATAAGAATTTTTTGTCCTCCAATAGGATGTGATTATTCCCTCATGAACCCTTCCTAGATTTGAACTTTTGTTCCGTTTGTTCTATTTTTATATTTAGTTAACATTTTCTTTGTATAAATATCTCATAGTCAATATTATTTAATTTTCATTAAAATTATTCATGAAGTAGACAAATTGAAAAGTTTTTAATATAATTACCCAGTATATAGGGTGTTATATATGCTCTATTATCCAGAAACTTGTGGTGCCTTATATCTAATCCTCAGAAATTATTACCTTCCTCTGTATAGTTGAGGCTCTTGTATTTCAGAGTGCATAATTAACTTTAATCATAGTCAGTAAGTACCACCCATAGTTGCAAATTAGGTATTTTTTCCTCAAGGCTGAATCACTCCCCTCTACTCCATTCTGCCTTGCTCTTACTCTCTACTAAATCTACAGGTTCTTGAACTCACGAACTATGTTGGTAAAAATATACTCGTTGAACTTTGAACACGTTCACTGAAAAATGGCAACAGTATATAGAAAATGTGGTAAATTCAATAGCATGTCTCAGCTGGAGTGGGAATATAATACTAGGGCTTCCTCTCCACATCCAAGCAAGAGCCTATCTTGAAATTTGAAGTGTGCTTTATTCACAGATAATGTTTCCTGGCGACATCCTACACGGGGCTCTCTTTTTATTATGAAGCTCATTGAGAATTTCCAACAACATGCCTGGTCCTGTCACCTGGTGGAAATTTTCCGAAAGGTAGGGCTCTAGATGCTTCTTCCACTCTTCCTCCCTAGATGTTTGTCTATTCCAGGTGGAAACTTAGAAAACATCTGGACATGTTTATCTTCCAATTATACCCTTCTTTCTAAAGGAGTTTCTAAGTTCTTTGGGAGATGACCAATCTGGAAGCCAGATTCAATCTGTTATGACCAACAACCTCTATAACACAATTGTGTATGTAACTCCCCTGCTGCCCTGAAAAGGCAAATGAGTGGACTTTAACTTGCCTGTGTCCATCATGGCTATCAGATCTAGTAGCAGATTTAAAAAGTGGTGAGGAGGGTCATTCAGTGCTAAGATATGCATATTGCATACTTTTTATAGATGCAAATGCTTTTTGTTTTTATCATTTATTTTGCTGTATTTGTTGCAGTATTTCTGGCTTAAGTGAAGATTCTCAAAACAGAAAAAAAGTCTACAGGCTTTCCTTTCTGTTTCAGGTCCAATTTTCATTTGACCTACCAGATGGTAGGGCACAGATGCCCACCACTGAAAGGGTGACTTTGACAAGACTTTTCTACCTCTTCCCAGGACATTAACATAAGTAAGTTGTATGAATGTCTTGGGCAGGTTCGTGGTAGGGGGAGGGGAGAGGTTGAGGAAAGAGTACTGAAACTCCATCCTGGTCGAGGTCTCCAGGTGGACAGGTTGAGCATCCATAATCCAAAAATTTGAAATATGAAATCCACCAAAATCTAAAACTTTTTGAGCACCAACATGGCGCTCAAATGAAATACTCATTGAAACATTCTGGAATTTAGATTTTTAAATTAGAAATGCTCAACCAGTAATTATAATGCAGATATTCCAAAAACAGAAAAAATCTGAAGTGCAAAACACTTCTGGTCCCAGAATTTTATATAAGGAGCACTCAACCTGCAGTGGAATGCACAGGGGATAGTGCAGGAATGCCTTTCCTCTGGTCAGTACAGAGCACATTGCTCTGCTCTCACAGCAGAGCAGTTAGACAGCCTTCTCAGAGGGTCAGCTGATAACTGATCTAGAGTGGCCGTAAGATTGGGAAAGCTCACCTTTGGATGTTTCTCCCCTTCACCTCAGCAGGAGGATATTTAGACATAGCATGGGCTCTTTCCTTTCATGAGTGTATATGTTCCCATTGGTGGTGTGACCTTATAATTTGCATATCTTTTAGTAGAACTTTTTTTTAATGTTTGTCTTATTTCTTTTTCCCATAGCAAGCCAGGAGTGCTGCCATTCTGTACCT